ATAGTAGATTGAATGGATTCATATGCATATGACGACTGTATGTTTGGATGTTAGCGTTCAAAGTTGAAAAAATGAAAAATTTACACAGTGCTTTCATATTTTATGGATTTTCTCGAAACTATAATAGATTGAATAGACTCAAAATATGGATATGAAAGTTGCAGGTTTTGCTATATAATAATTGTATTTTGGAAATCGCAAAAATGTGTAAAACTTTAGTTGTTTTGAAGATTATGTAGGTATGAAATCAATGGTGGAAGATTGTATTTTGAAAATCGCAAAAATGTGTAAAACTGTAGTTGTTTTGAAGATTATGTAGGTATGAAATCAATGGTGGAAGATTGCAAAAGTGTTTAGATATGCGGATTCGATACGTTATTGGGCAAGCAGATAACCAGCTTAAATTGGCATTTCCGATTGAAATCTCTATATGTATTTATATCTGTTTGCAGGGTGAAACCGTTAAAACCGGAAATGGCGACGTTTATCGCGATCGCAAACGTACACATTTCGCCTTAATTGCGGGTTTTATTGGGAAAATAAATGGAGAGCAGAGAAGCTTTAAGCATAATAAAGCATTTGTAATGATTATGGTAATACGGAGAAGAGTGGTGGAAATGTGAAAGTAAGAGTAAATCGCCACGGGTGCACGCGAAAATGAACGAACGGGTGTTATTATGTTATGAGCAGAATTTGGCTTTTGGTGGCCGCCAAAAGGAGATGAATAATAATAATAAATGGTAATTGCGGTCAACAAAAGGCGAATCAATTCCAATGCGGAAAGCGGAGAAAGAGAAAGAGAGGTCCTTCCAAAACACAGGCATATAAATAAAATCAGATACGATTAAGTATGGCTTTTATACATATACATCTTTCCTCCTTTAGAGTTCCCTCTGAATAATTTATAATATTACAGGTGCAACTTAAACAGCCGTTACCACGTTAAAGGAGAAAAAAAAAGTTGAATTATCTTCGTCCGCTTCTTCGTCCTTTATATTTTTTTTTGTATGATTAACTAAACAATGCGTAAAAATCAATTATTTCCTACAAGTTATTCTGGCAGAGTTTGGAGCGCTGCTGTTGATGTTTATGCCTCCGCGTAAAAAGGGCTCAGCTTTCGTTATACTTTCAAATAAGAGTCCGAGTTTATTATAGTACGTGAAAAGAAAACGGGTGGCGACGTGATTGTTGGAATTCTCAATGGCGAACGCCGTATCCGCGACCCGCGTATAAAAACGCGTTCATTTTTTGATATCCGTCGATAATAGCTCTATAAAAATGTTAATAGAAACGTAACGTGCGAATGGAAGGTTGACGCAATTAAACTTTTAACACTGCATATAAAAATGTCGACATCATCGTGGCAGATCGTCCATACAGAACTCTAGATTGCATTCAAAATCAATTACGCGCGCACGCAAAAAGTGAAACATCTATATTTGGTCCATGGGAGGAACTTCTTCTTCTTCTTCATCTTCTTCTCCTCTTCCTATTTTATTAATATAATTCCAGCTTCAGATGATCTCTGGACAAGAACCACGCATTAAATACGTTCGAGTCATTAATGTCTATATGTATTCTAGCGCGGTATGCGCTTACAATGTTTTGGATAGAACTGCTTTTTCTATTCTCAGCTACTCATATCAGTACCATGGATCGATTGCATTTTCCGTCGCTGCCTCCTTGTATATTATTTTCGATTCGCTTTTTCTCCGCTATGTGTGGTCTCCCTTTTTTTGCCCAACAACCAACATTTTATTATCGATATTTATATTTATATACAATACTTCCTATACGAGATTCATATACAACTCCTGCATTCACAATGAGACAATACTCGTCGCTTCGTACAGATAAATAACAACAACAGCAACAATAAAAGTAAAAAGAAAACCAAAGGCACAGCTTCTGGGAACATTTCTCTTCTTTTCAGACCTAAAAAAGAAAAAGCGAATTCTCGGAACATCAACACACATTACATATAATAATATACAACTATATTATTTACATAATAATATGAATAACAATAAGCAGATACACCACTTGACATAAATAATAATTATTGATATCATATAATAATATAAACCATTTCTTCTTAAGCAAATACATTTTTGGTTTGTTTAATTGAAAGGATAATGTGAATTTATAAATTTTCAATTAGTTGATCCATTCTTGTAAAATGAACTAGTTTATTCGAGTAAACATTCTAACCCTAATATAGTAAAACCTGAGAGTACCATTAGACCAATTACAATCTCTTAATTTGGACAAGAAAGCCATTAAGGTACACGATAACCCTTGTTATTTAAATTGTTTAACATTATTATTATCATCATCTTTCAGTCGCTTTATCTACTTACTATATTTTATAAAGTATAAAAACATCCTTCAAACAACATATTCCAACTTCTCGACATAATCTTAAATATTTAATTGAAACTTATTTATATTTTTACAAAATTTCTACGCCAATTTTTGCAATACACTCAAAAAAATAATTTGATTTTCGTTTCTTACTTTTTCTGTCTGTAATTACTTTTGTATTATTAGTTTAAGTCATCATTTAACTATTTTTATTGGACCAAAGGGTAGATTATAAATCATTATTTTAAAAATTGTATAAACATATAAAATCGATAAGCTCCAATTAGAAGAACACATAATGCATGTAAAATTATAAATTGGGATTCATTACAATAGATTTTATCGAATTGAAACCAAATAGTCGTTATTAAACAATGGTAGATATTATGGAATGTATTGAAAACAAATTACATTCCAATTATAATAAAGGGTACAAATTTACGTCATCAAAGATATACAAAATACGAAGAAAAAAAAGAAGAGGTTTTATCCTTTTAGGAATCGGAGCGTGAAAATTGTCTGCATTCTTCTTGTGTACTAATTATGTAAAATTTAGTCGGATCGAGTTTCCGTGTCGGCTTCCCTGGACCTTCTGTGCAGATTGAACGAGAAGTTTGCAGCATGAAGACATAAAATTATCGTATGCAAGTAGGTTTATTGAATGGTAGTTAGTATGCGGCCAGGAATATGATTCAGTTACCATCACGAGGAAGGCATCTGCTACAGACGTTCCGTGCCTTTAGGCTTTACCGGTTATTTAGCGATAACGAATGACTAAATCATCAGCATATGATGCACTGCGGGTTAAAAGATTTAAATTCGCCGATGCGTAAATATAAATATATATCAAACTGAGTGTGTTTTACACGATTTCTCGGCGTTTGGCAAAGTTTTTGGAAAGTAAATGGAAGACGAATATAATTGGATGAAATTACAATACGGCGTTTACCCTTTTTGTAAAGTAAGACGCTTTATGCATGTAATTACGCATCCTGTATCAATTACATACGAATTTTAAGGAAGTATGTAAATTCCGTTTCAATTATATGTATATATGGGCCACCCAATTGCTAATTTTGTAAAAGGCTGGAATGGTAAATTATAAATACAAAATGGACATACACATGTACGACCACGTGCGCACATTTCAATGGAATACTTTGCGAGCCTCTTAATATGGACATGCGGCATCTGCAACTTAATCGCAGCACCATCGGACGATTTTTATCAGATTTTACGTTATCAACCTACCATCAAATTTATGAAATCTAAATGCCCAGTTCGCACTTCCGTAAACCGATTATTACGTAATGCCCTATTATGCAATCAACCATTGCAATTCTTATACACAAACTAATTCATCATTATATATCACTATAGATATCAATTAAGATTTTTTTAAGAAATTTATATAATTAAAAAAACGGTTTTTGAGAAAATCAGGAAGGAATTAAGTCATATTCTTGATTACCAAACGAATTCAAGAGAGAAGACAAACGTGATTAGTAACACTTCTTACTTAATTACAAAATCCACAGAACGTTTGTACAAAGACGTCTTGCATATTTCTTTCACTTGCTTCAAAAAGTGAGATCATTAAGTTATCTTGATCTATATTATCAAAATTATATCCAAATGATTCTGACTACTGTGATGAAAAAGCGACAAAAAAAGACATAACTTTAATAAAAATGCTATGGAAAAAATCGATTAATAAATATAATTAAGAACCTGAAGTAATAACTTTGTCCTGGCCTAAGACAGTAACATTAATTTGGTTTATTTCTTTTTCTTATTTAATCCTCTAAAACGAAATTTTGTATGCAAAATAAGGAACATTCAAGACTTTGTTTCATTTTTAAAATCAATTTTCTGAGAAAAAAAAGTAATTTATTGCAATTAGTATATAGATTTATATAATATTCTAAAATCGCGATTTCTAATTAAAATAAGAATATTCTATATATGAATTTATGAGAAGAGAGTGACGTTACATGCATTCAACTAAAAACACTCTGTTTAATAACAAAATTGAAGGTATCGAAATGAAAAGGTAATTACTCTTTAGTATTTTAATCTATTATTATTGTTATTATAAGAAAATGTGATTAGTATTTGATAAAATGTTTACATTGTCTTTGATTAATATCTTCGGCGAGTGTAATATTTTTGAGCGATTACCTCCCTAGCGGCCACTCATTAACTGATAATCAGACGAGTAAATGAAGTGAATTGCATGTCTTTTATATAACGTTCTTTCGTAATGTCGATTTATTAAGAAAACTCGCGTTGAACACGCGAATAATAAATAAAAACACATACCAATAGTGTAATTCAGTTTTACATTATTCTAATAGGAGCAAACACATAATGTAAATAACATTCAAAATACAAAGAAACGTCTAGTTTATTTTCAAGAAATATTATATATTTCCCATATAGTTGTTATTTATTTTAGAAGAAAAAAAACAATTTTATAACGACTAAAATAAATCGATAAATATATAAGCGAATTAAATGATTATATTTCAATCAGTATATTAAGTTCCTTTAAATATATAGTTAGTAACATGGTCAAGATTTAGATATATTTTCATTATATATGCTTCACATGTTGCGTATTCTGGTAAAATAAGTTGCCTATCACAATTTTTTATTTAACTATTTTATCGCAACATAATTATTTAAATCACTTTCGAAATGGAAATTGCTGTTTTGCATCCAACTTTAATTAATTCCGAAAAAGCCTTGTAGAACGGTGCTTGCTCTGCACCCTGCTCGATACCGTGATCATGATGCTCCTGTTCTTCATCCCTGAATTTTGTGATGGTCTCCAATAACTCCTTGTTTGCATCCGGATCATCCATCAACGTTCTCAACTGATCGTTATAATGTTCAACAATTACAGTTTCAACAGCTACAGTACATGCCATTGCTGCTTTGTCTCCTAAAAAATAAATAAATAGAAAATACATGAACATTACAATTTGTAAAATTGTTTTACCAAGTAAAGCACTTCCAGCTCCTAAAACAAAACCAGCTACATTCCAAATTGGTGTCATTACTGTAGGTCTAACTCTATGTTTCCTAATCAGCTCTTCAAATTTGGCTCTGTGGTTTTTCTCTTGCTCCCACATGTGCTGAATCAAAGGGCCTTTCTTTGTATTTCCCAAAACTGCCATTTGCCCCGCATAAATCCTATCAGCTCCCAACTCTCCTGCATGATCAACTCTTATAATTTTATCCAAATCGGCCTTAGAAGCGTAGCATCTCCTTGTTGTGTGCAATGCAGGAATCCTCAACATTCTACAAAAAAAAAATATAACATTAATTCAACATATAAAACTTTAAATAAATATATAACAATAGAAACATAACCTAACAAATATAAAAATACTCATAGAATTGTTATACTTACATACATAGATATAAATCAATATGAATATAGAAATTACGAAATCTCTAAATCATTTCTATAAAGAATGTAAAGGTTGGTTCTAATATTTATAGTAAATAATAACTTACGTTTCTCGAATAGACTTTGCTACATAAAAATAAAAGAAACTTAACCTATTTCTTTTGTTTCAGAACTTTTGTTTACTAGTTGCAAAGCGATTGAAATTGAAGTGGATACTGCAGATCCAGATTGGCCTCTTAATTTCTATAGAGAATATGTGTCAAAGAATGTACCAGTGGTTATTAAAGGGGGATGCAAGCATTTTGAGGCAACCCAAAAATGGGATTCAACTTATTTCAGGTATTTAAAACTTTCAAATATTATTATCATTTTTTCTAACAAATTAATGAATACACAGGTCAATGTTGGGAGAAAAAGATGTAACAGTAGCAATAACACCAAATGGGTATGCAGATGGACTTGCCAGTTGGAGGAATCCTGAGACTGAATTAGATGAGGAAATATTTGTTTTGCCTGAAGAACGAATCATGAAAATGGACGAATTTTTAAATAATATACAGAATCCAAAGCAAGTGCTCATTGTTGATGTATAAGGGATAACATTTGTGATTTGATGAATTGTAGGGAAAATGTAATTTGTTATATTCAAAGGCAAAATTCTAATTTGACTGAAGATTTTCAAGAACTATTTAATGATATTCCACTAAATATTGGATGGGCTTCTAAAGCTTTCAATAAGAAACCTGATGCAGTCAATTTCTGGATGGGTGATGAAAGAGCAGTTACCAGTAGTAAGTATAATTTATCATTCAAAAATATTTTTATTATCTTTGTTATTTTTAGTGCATAAAGATTTCTATGAAAACATTTATTGTGTAATAGATGGTCACAAGGACTTTATTTTAATACCACCTACTGATTTACCATGCATCAACTATAAAACATATAAAATGGGACAGTATGAAGATGTTTACCAAAGTGGCTTCAATGTAAAGCTGTGCAGAGACAGCAATGGAATTCAGCATGTACCTTGGATTGCTAATGATCCTTTAAATGAAAAATGTAATTTAAATTCAGATTTTCAAAAAGCTAATGTGCATAGAGTAAGAGTATCAAAGGGGGATTGTCTGTATCTGCCAAGTATGTGGTTTCATCATGTGCAACAGAGTCATGGATGCATAGCTGTTAATTATTGGTATGATATGGATTTTGATGTGAAATTTTGTTACTATAAGTTACTAGAATCTTTAAGTAACGTAAAATAATACGTTGAATGTGAAAAAGTGCGTAAAATAAAAGCGAAGTCCATTTAAATTATGTGTCACTGTTACCAACGTAGGAATATTAGATTTAAAGTTTAAATGGTTTTGCACACTGTTTGTCACATAAATGAAATGTCAATGTCAGAATGGCAATATTTACATTCCAGTAGTTGTGTTTAGAGGCAATAAGTTTAATGTTCGCAATGTTAGTTTTTAATTGGTTTATCGTGTGACCGCGAATGGAACAATATTTATAATGAATAAAAAGTGGAGGACTTTAGTAATATCTCTTTAATAGCTTGCTCAAACAGCAATCTGAACTGTAACTAAGAAATAGTAACAAAATGAAACTGGAAATAATCAATTTTCCATTATCCGGTATTGTTGTTTGTTTGTTTGTTCTGTTTGGAAATGCTGCTGTAGATCTTATACCATGTGATAAAACGAGAAGAGTGTTTACTAGCTCTTGGGGGGTGATAACTGACGGTCCTATTGGTTCCAATTATACTCAAGACAGTCATTGTGAATGGCTAATAAAAGCGAACAGCACCAACAAGTTCATTACTTTGAGTTTCCAAAGTATGGGAACAGAATGTTCCTATGATTATGTATTTGTTTATGATGGAGATTCATTCAAGTCACCACTGTTGGGAAGCTTCAGTGGAAAAACAGAACCACAGCAAGTGATAGCTTCATCTGGATATATGCTGATTCTGTTGTACAGTGACACAAATTATGTTTTGGATGGCTTCCGCGCTGAGTTTTCTATAACTGATTGTCCAAATAACTGCTCAAAAACTCAAGGACACTGTTTTAAAAATCGCTGTGTTTGTGAAAGTGGATGGGGTGGACAAGATTGCTCAAAGAAACTCTGCCCTGAGGATTGTGGATTTACCCATGGGAGAGGAAGATGTGAAGATACATGTATTTGCAATCCTGGATTTTCTGGACAGGCATGCAGTTTAAGTGATGAAGATGTGTTGGGTAACAAATGGCACTGGTTGTCTCACTCTGAAGGAGGTCTCACAAAAAGAGCAGCTCATACTGCTGTTTACGTGGATCAAACTGATTCTCTCTATGTATTTGGTGGATATAACTTAAATAAAATTTTGGGAGATTTAGAAATATATGATTTTAAAAATAGCTCATGGATTGATGAGAATGGCCATCCACTACCACATATCAGTTTGTTAAACTTTGTAGACCCAGCATCTGTGGCAAAGTTGATTGAACATGCAGGAAGACCATGGGAAAAGAAATGGGGTATAAACTCTAAAAACTCATTCTTCAGAAATCTATTGTACATAAGTGAAAATTCAAATGTGACTAAAAGAATACAAAGGCATTCACAAAAACCTCAACACCAGAAACCTCTACCTAGGTAAATATTTTATATAATATCTATTTATTGATATTTACTATTTTATTATTATTATTATTTAGGTATGGCCATTCTGCTTGCAAAGTTGAATTAGGTTTTGTAATTTTTGGGGGAAAATTGGATAACGGTAGTTTATCGAACGAGCTTTGGCTCTATAACGCATTTACAATGAAATGGGAACTCAGAAGTTTGCAATCAAAAATCCGACCGCCGAAATTGACTCGGCATACATTAACTGCTGCAGCTGACGATGAGATATTTCTGTTTGGCGGAAGTACGGAAGACGGAGAGTTTTCCTCCAAGCTATTTAAAATACATTTAGAGGACGATCTCTCCGAGAATTGGATAGAAGTTAAATCACGAGGAGGCAAGGAGTTAGATGTTCGCGTAGTTGCGCATTCGACTGTTTACCATTCGGTAACTAATTCATTATTGGTTTATGGCGGTATAGTGGCTGGAGTCGCAAGATTTTCTAAATTATCGGATCGTATGTTTGCATTCCAATTAGATAGCAGACATTGGTCTGAGATTCATTATACCAGAGAATATTTAAGAGATAGATTCGTGCCGCGCGAACGTGCTTTTCACACCGCTAACATCCTTGGAAACTATTTGATCGTCTTCGGTGGTTACTCGCACAGACACAACAAAGAAGAAATATGCTACGACAACCAAATGTATTTATATCACTTAGGATGCCATACATGGGTCAATCCAGAAATTTTGGGACGATCAAACGATTCGCGTTATCCGAAGCAACAAGGCGTGTTCGCTCACGCAGCTACTGTCCGAAATGGAAACACTTTACTCCTAGTTGGTGGCTATCATGGTAACGTCAATGGTGATCTATTGGCCTATACAGTTCCACCCATGGTCGCCGTAAAGGCAGGAGAAAATTACGAACCAGAAGCAGCTTGCCCTAGGCACAGAAATTATGCTGAATGCTCTGCGGACCCAGAATGCGGTTGGTGTTCTGCAGATGAATTATGCTACGGACGAACGGTGGGTGCGAATTGCACTACCAATTTACAGACGACACGGTGTCCTGGAGTCTGTCCCGCTCTGGGAGATTGCCATTCCTGTTTAATTCACGGTCACAATAATGGTAATGCTAATGTAAAGTCTGCAGCTCATAAGCTTGGACTCGCTGAATGCACTTGGTGCGTGCAGAATGCCAGATGTCACCACAAGGATGATAATTATGGTGTGTGCGGATCTCGAGAGGATAGTCCTAGCCAAATGCCTGGCTGGTGGGGTGTCAAAGGGACCGAGGTGTTGAGACCCCAAGAATGCAGGGAATTGGACAAAAGACCTGGATTAACTTTCGTTAAATACTTCCATCCGGTTAATTTCACGCAGCCCGACCATGTAGCCATCATAAATGCAACTACAGTAAGTTTTATATTCAATGACTTTTATTACGTTACTCGATTTTTTTTTAATAGATTTACATAACATAACATTTTACTGTAGAAACTTTCTAAAAAAACAAAGACATTCAAACTATGTTATTAAGTAATAATAAACAAAATTTATTCTATACCAAATATACCAATAATTTTGAAAATTATTAAAACTAATATTAAAAACATTTTTAAACATATTCTATAAAACTTCCTTTACATTGTTAATTACTTTATTCTGTTTTAGAAAATTTAAACAAATAATTATAACAACTTTTCAATTTTGATTTAGATCTAATAGTATTTTATTATTTCATTGTTATTGGTGCATTTAGAACCCAAATTATTTCATTTAATCAATTTTGACCTAGTATTTTGCAATTTCAAAGCAACAATCTATTTATAGTAAATGTACACGTTTATATAATCTTAAAAGCAAAATAACAATTATAGAATAATTTTATTTTAATGTCATTAAATTTCACCTTGTCGGATAATAATGTGAGCAAAAAAAATGACATGTTAATTATATGATAATGAGTGTTGTATTTCAAGCTTACACACAATGGTCAATTGCTCATAATTTTAAAGTAGAAAATACAAATTTCTTACATGACTCACTTAATATTTGCTTTTTTTTGGTAATCGTGAATTTTTAATAATTAAGTAATCGAACTGTTAAATTAGAAAAAACGAGTAATAATAAAATTTTTAAATTCCGTTTTTTTTTATTTTCCAGGTGGATTTCAACAGTCCAGCGAATCCACTTTTGCGAACAGATTCCGGTGGGAAAATGGTAGCTCGTCTTTTGGGATTTCTGAGACCGCCGCCGCAATGGCAGGAGATGTTAAAAGTCTGCATAAGTTTTTGCAGCGCTACACTGAGAATCGGAGAGAACCAATTGTCTAATTTAACGGCAGAGCAGAAAAGATGCGAGCCACAGCACTGGCCGAAACAAGAGATTTCCAATAGGGTTTCGATCGATTTCGAATCGCACAAAGTCGTTAGCTTCGCTTATCATTCCCATCATTCACAAAGTAAAATGGAATTGCAACATTACAAGGGCCAGGAGAAGGCAAAGGTTTGTTCGATGCAAATGCACATTAGCTAATTGGTATTTAAATATTGGATGACCTGAATTTCATATCAGTCAATATCTCAATATTAGAAAGTTCGTTCGTTCGTTCATTCAAACCGAGCACACTGTAAGCAAATAAATAATGGACGCAAATCGTTATAAACAAACCGCAGAAAGAAACACGAAGAATATTCAGCAGATAATGTGTTTGAGTCCATAACAAATTATCGTTGGCCTTTGAATCGGTCGGATAACGTTATTAAATATTCAAGGATAACTAGAATGCAAGCGTATATTTTTATTTTCATTCAATTACATTTTTTGACCCACAGATTTGGAAACAAATGTTACACATTTCTGATAATCCTAAATTCAAAATACGCAAACGTATGTCACGGTTGACCGCGAAAAATTCAACAATAATATGTTGTTCATTCTCGTTCCTTAATTTACACATGCAATTAGTGGGTTCTTATTTAATATTCACGAACGTATTTTAACTTTCACCGAGTGTTTCTACTTTTACGTATAAAAGAAGAAATTATAATTTATATAGTATGAATAATTATAATTTATTTTGAGGAAATTAATGATAATATGATTTCAGGTTTTTACTTTTGAATATTTAGAGCCTTTTGCAAATGGAAGCTGTAGTCAATACAGGAACTGCTTGCATTGCTTGACGGACTCGCATTGCGGATGGTGCGATGCTAGTAATATTTGCGTATCTCGTTTGGAAGATGAAAGTATCACTTGCGTAGCGGAAGACGGCGATTGGAGATACCTAACAATCCAACCAAGTGCATGTTCGAATTGTTCCAATTACATTTCCTGCGAAAGCTGCTTGAATTCAGGACTGTGCGAATGGTGGGTGGAAGATGCTAGGTGCACCAGGCGCGGTTTATCCAGTGAATCGGCCGTTTCTTTGGAACAATGTCCAATGCCATGTCACAAAAGGGCCAATTGCAGCGCCTGCTTGGAACAAAAAGGACGGTGCGTTTGGTGCGAGGCAACAGAGCAATGTTTCAGCTTCTCCGTGTACACCAGTGAATACCAATTCGGATTGTGCAGGGAATGGTTGGATCAGGCATTTCCTATGGTTCCGCAAGATCACAACATAATAGCCTCTGCCAGGCCGCATGAACAATGCAAATCCTGTTCTCATCACACCAATTGTTCCACGTGTCTGAGTTCATTGAATTGCGGATGGTGTTATAATTCTTCCAACCCGATTTCCGGGAAATGCGTACAGGGTGATTTCAACAATCCACGCGGAAATTGTTCTATCGCAATAGAGACTCCGAACGCAAAATGGGCCTATGCTCAATGCCCAGATGTGGATGAATGCGGCCTCGGTCTGCACGACTGCCACAAGGAAGCAATTTGCACGAATACCGATGGTTCTTTTAGTTGTCAATGTCGCAGGGGATATATAGGCGATGGACGAAAATCTTGCGTTAGAACATGTTACAATGTTTGTGTGCACGGGACATGCCAAGGGGAACCCAACTATTCTTGCAAATGTGATCTGGGATGGACGGGAGATGATTGTTCTATCAATTGCGGTTGTAATAATCATTCCAATTGTCCGGAAGATGTTGGCATCTGCGAGGAATGTCAGAATTGGACGGAAGGAGAATTTTGCGAGTTTTGTAAAGCGGGCAGCTTTGGAAATGCGACTACTGAACAAGGTAATATCTGTTGTTACGAACGAGAAATAAATCTAAATTATATTTAATTAAATCACCAGGATGCAAGCAATGCGAATGCAATGGTCACGGAAATGAGAGCGAGGGCGACTGTGACATTATAACTGGTGTCTGTTATTGCAAAGATAACACGGAAGGTAATCAATGCGAGAGATGCAAATTGAATTACTACGGTGACCCCAGGGGTGGCCGACAATGCTATTATCAATGTGAAGCAAGAGGTATGTTGATTGGATCAAACGGGCAAGGAATCAGCTCAAGACAATCTTACAGTGCCCCTTGGGGCGGTCCTCCAACCAGGGAATGCCTATGGATCATTAATCCTATAATTGAGTCTGGATCAGCTATTATTCAATTACAAGTATATATCGCATATCTTTTTAACGTACATAATATAATATTTTATTATCTATAGATGAACTCGACGGATCTGAATGTTACTTGTGGTGAAAATGCAGTTTACGTGTATGACGGACTACCGGAACTAGTCGATATGGGTAGTCAGAGTGCGTTATCCGCTGTATTTTGCAACGAGGAAGCATTACCTTCAGCAATTGTCGAATCAAGAACAGGTATGATATTGATCAAATGAAAGAGTTTTAATTTAAAAAATGTTGGACAATGTTCTCACTTAATTGTTTACATTATAGGTCAATTAACTGTTCATTATAAACAAGGACTGCTGGGCGAGGGTTTCAGTGCAATGTACTTCGTTATTGAATGCGAAAATTGCGTTCATCCGAGGATCTGCAAAAACGGTTTATGCATATGCAAAGACGGATTCGTTGGACCGCACTGTGACATTGAAGTGTGTCCGAAGAACTGCAGCGCCAGCAAAGGTCATGGAAAATGCGATAAATCTTATGGTAGATGCTTGTGCGAGGAGAATTGGGGTGGACGTGCGTGCGACAAAAGGTAATATTCATATAGATTTACTTATTAAAAAAAAAACATTTATTACAAATCAAATTAAATACTTTTCTTTAATGTGGTCAGCCAAAGGGTTTCCATGCTGCTCCAAAAATTGGACCATGCAATTCAATGTATTCTTGTCTTCTGCGCTTAAAAACAAGATGTTCAAGTCGAATCTAGGCACGTTCGTCAAGTTGGTCAGAATTGCTTTTACTCTTACAATTTCATGAGGTACTGAGAAATGCTGGTATAATGTACGCAATATCAATCGAAACATTGAACCATCTAATTTGCATCCAATTACTGAAAGTATTGTGATTATATATATGTATGTCTAAATAATTGTGTAGCACTTACAGTAAGGTATTAAATCCGAATTGATATTTCTCAGTAATTGTGCAATGGAATTCCCGGTACAATCTTTGTAAACGCAATTCCAATATTTAGTGAAAGCATAAGGATTATCGATTTCATTTGGCGTAATACGGAATCCATGGTTATCATCTATGTTATTTGGTTCTCCAGCCCCGTCACGGAAATTTCTCTGAATAATCAGATAAATAATACATAATAAAGTATCACTAATTTATTACTTACATTCATTGCTTGTTGGTCGGTAGTCACATTCATCATTTCTTCCGATTTTGTTAATTCTAAATTATTTCCATTAGTTATATTAATTGGACAATCTGGCAATTTGACATCAGAATTTATATCAATCTCGTTACTAGATTCCACTACTTTTTCTCCGAGATTCAATTTATTTAATTCGAATTCTTCCATTAGTTCATCTTCGCATGATGCATCAATTAAACTAATATCTTCTACTTTAATAAGATTTTCAATGCTTTTCAAATTAATTCGCTCATTTACTTTTATTGTAACTGAATCACCATTGAACGAATATTTGCTATCAGATTTTTTCAAATGAATTACTTCACAATCATCTTCGTCCTCGTCAATGTTCGTATAATACAGTGTTTGTTGTCTGTTATTCAAGATATACTCTTGTCGTTTTATTAAAGATTGATCTTTATTTTCCACCTTTATGAAATATGGTTCAGGCATGAAACTTGGTCCGGGTATTGGAAGCAGTATATAGTCTCTGGTCTTTTTAGATAGAAACTTATTGCTGCTGACGCAATTCTTTGGTTTAGCAGTATCTCGAATCTCAATAATCTTTGAACCTTCTTCCTCCTTAAAAATCTCATCTAATACATTCTTATTTTTTGTCGTTTCTTTTTCATCACTTTTACTATCGATTTCAACGATTTTCATCCTTTTCTTTAAAGTATCAGTTTGCGAGTTTCTAAGTTCATTCAATCTATTTACGGCGGTTTGCGCTAATGTATTATTTGGTTCGATTTCTATTGATTTTTCTGCATAAACTATTGCATCTTCATATTTTTTCAAATATTCATAACTTTGAGACAGTCTTAGAAGCGCTTTAATATTCTTCGCATCATATTTAAGTGCACATCGACAATCTTTAATAGCGCTTTCATACTCCTTCAGTTTAATGTTTGTTATTGCCCTGTTGTTGTAGTTCACACAGGAAGGAGAATAATTAATACTGTTGGTATAATGAACGTATGCTTGCTTGTAATCACCAATTCTATAATACTCGTTACCTTTTTCTTTCTCTCTTTCTGCTTCGAAATTAGCTTCGGCTCTAGTGTGGAATTCGTTAAATTTTACTCTTTTTGTTGGTTCTTTTGGTTTTGAGGCAATTTCGCGTTTCAATTTTTCCGCATCCAAATCCATTTTCAATATTTCGGTGTCCGGATCATATTTATCCCATGATGAATAATCGGTGGATTTTATGCGTTTCGTCGAATTTTCCGATCTTTTATCGATCAACGTTTCCTTTTTACGGATTTCGGGGATATTAGCATTGCTTGACTTTCCAAACTTTGACAATTCTTCATTGTTTAGTTTTACATTATCCAGCCAAGTAGATAAATCTTGCGAGAGGTGCTCACGGTCTTCCTTATTCAAATAAGCTTTGTTCAGTACCGGTGTGACCTTTCTTATATATTTACTGTTCGGTTTTATAGCTCCTAAACGTTCTTCGGTAGCTTTAATGAGATCGGGGAAATGTCCTTCCTCTCCGGATTGAAGAATATGCAGAATTTTCTCCAGCTCCCTTCCATCTGCACACTTTTTCACATAATCAAAATCCAAATAACTAACGGGAATATCGTACTTTCTTAACAGCGTTTGGCGTTCGCTATGATATGTTTGTTCCGGTTCTGCAAGTTTACTTAAATCTTCCATGATTATATTGTTTCAACACTCTGTCAACTTTGCACTTCTGGATCGTCAAACATAATATCCCGTTGCTTGGGTAAATGATTATTGATCAAACATTTTCTCTGTTACTATGGTCTTTCCTAAATATCATATAGTATATTCACGATACTAAATGACTTGTTTTTAATTGCAGGCTTACAGGAAATCAGTTAGTATTTGCTGAACTATTCAATACCGTCAATTTAGTGGATCACTTGGAGCATCTTCGTAAGACTTTACCGCGATTCGGGCATTCTTTGGTGTCCGATCGCCGCGGCGCACTTTGGATGTTCGGCGGCTATTCTTTATCGCATGGACCTTTAAACGATATACGACTATTTGATACAAGGAACAGTACATGGATGCAAGTTACTGTTGATTCCACTCCTGATGCGAAGATGCCACTGGGTAGATACTTCCATGGCGCAGACATTGTACACTCCAAACAAGCCATTTTTGTGTTTGGTGGCTTAACAAAACAAACGAAATCTGTGAATATCAGAACACTTGACGATTTCTGGCAATTTGATATACACAATCAACGATGGAACGAGATCGGACGCGAAAAGGCGGATAGCTGGCCGTTTGCAGTTTCCGGACACACCCTGACTTCATATAGAAATTCTTCCTTAGACAGCTTAATTCTTATTGGAGGTGTATCACCACAACATGGTTTTATGAATTATGTGTGGGAGTTTAGATTAGATGGATTTCAATGGCATAAATGGGATACTAGAGGGGCAGGACCTCTTGGTATATTTGGACACACAACTGTATTCCATGCACCATCCAAGAGTTTGTACGTGTTTGGTGGATATAGATACGAAAAGCAGGAAGCTATATTTTCAGATATACTTTACGTATTAAATTACGACACTAAAACTTGGACGAATCTAAATTCCTTTACATCATCGGTATTGGTATGTTTTATTTTTTCTATGCTCTTAAATGCATCATCAATTTCAACATTTATTGCAGCCAGGAAAACGATTTCTACACTCTTCAGTGACTACAGATTCACATTTATACGTGCTTGGTGGAAGAATTTCTCCGTGGAACATATCTGATACACTCTATGCGTACTCATACAATTGTAATCAGTGGATAAATTTGATTACTGATGGTATTTTTACAAACTATATTTATGTATGAATGCATACAACTTATGGATTAATGTTTAAGGTGTTGATAAGATCGGTCCATTGCCTGGCCAAACCTATGCCCAGGCAATGACAGTAGAGCCAGACGGAAATGCTGCATATATAATAGGAGGATGGGGCAGTGACGTGCAATGCTCCGTTTTACGTTTGGAATTGCCTCGGGATCTTTGCGCCCTGTGGCCGAATAGAGACTGTCTGAAAGTACCTGATTGCGCATATTGTGCATTGAAATATGATGTAAAAACCGTTTCTGAAACTTGCCATAGTCATAAAACAAAATGCCCCTTTCCGGATATAGTAAATCGTAATTGTACAGAAAACCTTGATGTTTGGAAAAAAAAAAACATTGATTAACTTTTTTATTTAAGATACAAAACATGAAAACCAAGGAAGAGTTTGCGATGGGCCGATCGTAACGGACAATTGTACAGTATTATATGATTGCTCAACGTGTACCCAAGTGACTGGATGCCAGTGGTGTGATAATTTATGCGTTGGAAACAAAACTTGCTCAGGAAAATCAATCACTCAACCAACACAGTGTCCATATAACACATGTGTTGCCACTGATTGCATCCAGTGTCATCAGATCCCAGGCTGTGATTGGAGTTACACCAAGCAAAAATGCATACAATGTAAGTTTTAATTAAATTTACATCTCTCTTACAGTAATTATTACAATTTATTTTTTAGTATTTAATTCCCAAGAACAAAATGCAATTAACACTTGTGCGCCATCCTGTACCCATTATAAATCTTGCAGCGAATGTCTGGATGCTTCAGATTGCCGCTGGTCAACGCAATTGGATGAGTGCATTTCAGCGTCGTACCAGCAATTGTACTGTGCTGGTGGAGTCTGTGGTCTGGTGTTGCAAACAGACGATCGAGAATTTTGTCCAGAGCCGTGCTCCGTTTTTTCGCAATGTGCGACATGCTTAAGACATGCCAATTGCGGATGGTGTGCTGCTCCTGATAACAACGGTACAGGTTTATGCACAGAAGGATCAAGCGAACGACCTATGCATGGAACATGCGACGATGTAGTCTATCAGACTGATTACGAATTGCCGTCTAATACCAGTTACTCTTGGTTTTACGTTAAATGCCCTCCGGAAAATGAATGTCTGAACGATCATCATAGCTGTAATCCCATTTCCGAGAGGTGCGAAGATTTAGAAGAGGGTTACAAATGTGTATGTGGCTCAGGCTACAAAACTAGTCCAAACGGCTGTGAACCAGTATGTGCACAAGGTTGTGTCAGAGGACAGTGCATTGAGCCAAATAAATGCAAATGCGATTTCGGTTACGTTGGGGCTAACTGCAGCATTCAATGTCAATGCAATGGACATGCAAACTGCGAGGGTCCGGACAAATTGGATCAATGTCTGAAATGTCATAATAATACGATGGGAACGCAATGCGAGAAATGTTTGCCGCTGTTTGTAGGTGATCCATCTGATAGTGGGCAATGCATTCCATGCGAACAGTACTGCAACGGACACAGCAAAATATGCTTAAGTGAAAACTCTACGGAACACGATCCTCCAGAAAATATGGATATTGAGGAAGTACGAAAATACCTGAAAGAAGGTCCAAAAGGTATTGCTCGATGTTTGCGATGCGGTAGTCGTACATCGGGAACAAGATGCGATGAATGCATAGCAGGTAATTTTAGAGGATCGGAAGACCATAGAGATCCGTGTCGTCCGTGCGATTGCCATGGACACGGAGATACATGTGATCCAGTTACTGGTGAGAAATGCAATTGCAAAAATAACACTGAAAGCGATATTTGCCCCTCCGGTGCTTCTGGTAAGAATTCTGCAACCCCTTGTTACATGGTGCAATGTTCAAAATGCAAAGAAGGGTATTCGGGAATACCGACCGCTGGTCATCAGTGTTATAAGGTAATGAGCATGGACTTAAAAATGTGTTTCGATGCGAAGCTAATTGGTAAGATTATTTTAATTGAAACTTAAGTAAATTATTTATGGTGATTCTCTTTTTAGATGAGTGTAAAATGAAACCGAAACCTTTACATCCAGGAGAGATGGTATTCTTTGCAATACAACCGAGATACATGAATGTCGATATAAGAGTAATAATCGATGTGACGCAAGGGAAATTGAATGTCTTCATGAGTACGCACGATGACACGTACATTGTATTCCAAAATCAATCGACTGGCGTGCATGAGATTGATTTGGATCCGAAGTATTCTCACATAAATAATGGAACGGACGATGTGTATTTAGAAAAATCAGCAAACGGTCTTAGGACGTACATCACAGTCAAAGAGACGAAAACAATGCTTGCAGTGAAGGGATTGAAAGATCGTCTTGTAATCACACTACCTGAAGAATCTCATAGTTTAGAATCCACTCGTTTCTATCTGGTCTTGCAAGCGGTGGATCCACCGGAAACTGATAAGAAGGTCGCGTACGGAATTGTCTTCTTCAAACAAGATCAATTGCACATAGATCTGTTCGTATTTTTCTCTGTTTTCTTTTCGTGCTTTTTCTTGTTCTTGGCTGCATGCGTGGTCGCGTGGAAAGCTAAACAAGCGGCAGATGTCCGGAGGGCACACCGAAGACACGTCGTTGAAATGCTGCATATGGCCAAGAGGCCTTTTGCAAGCGTCACCTTAAATCTTGGCCAAAGAACAAAACCGAGAAGGAATGCACACTACGATCTAAGACCGGTTGCAGTCGAACCGACAGGTAATAACATACAGTTAAAATGTATATCACGAATGTTTCATCGTTTTATTTTTAGGGGACAGTTTGGCAGCTGTAGCAACTATATTCATAACTCTACCGGGCGGACAAAATACCCCAGTCAAATTAGCTTTAGCCTCTTCTTTGATATTGTTAGCCAGACAATTCCCACCAGGTGGTAGAGCATTCTTAAGAAGACGATCAACTCATGCAGTCCCGCCCACCTAGAATATACTCTACCAAATGTGGATACTACAAACACTCTCTAATCAGATCTACTCAATAATATGTACCTACGTGTTTTATATGTTATAGATATATGTTTTATTTATAAAATATACTTATTTTCTAAAAAACAAAATCACACATGCATTAATTTTATACCAATATTTATTTTGAAAGTGTAAATTAATACAATTAACAAATATGAATATTTCACGTATGCAATTTTCAGAAGGTAGGTGTGTCCATCTAGTGGCTTCAAAACGTTTAGCCTAACCATAAAATGCATCAAAACCATAACAATAACAAATCACAAGTACGCAATAAACATATTTTACTTTTATTTAATTGTAACCGATTGATTTAAAACTGAGTGTATTAAAATCAAATAATGAGTAAGAACATGATGTGGATAGATGGAAACTGCTTTAAGATACCTGATGAAACAGCATTTACTGGTAAAACTTATAAATCAAGTTTTGTATATGATTTTTGATAATCTGAACAATTTACAGACAATGAATATGAACATTTATATAATATTGTTAACAGTCCTCTAGATGATTGGACACAGAAATCAAAATTTAAATTACCACAGTAAGAAATATTTGCTTATCATTTCAAGACTTGAATAAATAAGTCTTAATTTTAGCTATTACAGTAAAAAGCTGAAACTCAAATACCTGAAAGATAAAGTAGAAGAAGAAAAGCAGATCTTGCTGAATGATTTGGAAACAGAAAATAGTGTAATGATAGAAGTTCATGGAAATTCAATACAAACTGTAGGTTGTGCAATGAAAGAACTGCATACAGTAATTGCTGAAATAAGATCTCAATCAAAGCCATTGCAATTCATATCAATTCCTACAATAAGTGATGAAATAAAAACAAACTTTTTGGAATTCAAGGTATGCCACAAATGATTGAAATGATTTTTATTAATGTTACTTTTTATGATAGGACAAAGTAGTACAAAAACAGTACAAAGGAGTTGAGGAAAGTATATTTCAGAAGGCTGAAAAATTACATTTAACAATCACTGTCTTATCTTTATTTAACTCATCTGAAATAGAAGAAGTTACACAATGTTTACAAAAGTATAAGAAAGATGTTTTTGAGTAAGCTTCAGTTTTTCTTTGGAGATAATTTTATGATGAGTTTATGTTTTAGTAATATGTTGAATGGAAGAAATCATCTTAGTATTATACTTGAAGGATTAGATAGCATGCAGACAGATTTAAAAAAATGTCATGTGTTATATGCCAAAGCGAAATTTACTGATGAAGATGAGAATTGTGATTTGCAAGCTATTGTTAATTCAATAAATAATTTCTTTTACATCAAAGGTTATAAGGTATGAATCTCAATATGTAGTTTACTAATACATTTGTTTAAAGGTTTCTGCAAGGAGCAGAAAGTTGATGTTAAATTGCATGCAACTTTGATGAACACAAAATATAGGAAAGTTGAAGGCAGGAAGAAGTTCTACCAGAAAAGGTTACCATTTAATGCTGTTGACATTATGAAAGATTACAAAGATCATTACTTTGGTAAATGTAACTTTAATGCCATAGATTTATCTTTAATGAGCAGCGTAGACGACAATGGTTACTATAAATCATTAGCAACAGTACAAATTTTAAATTCAGAATGTAATAATTAAACTGTTAGTACAAGTACAAACAAATCATATCAACAAAAACTATTTGCCATTAGTCGAATGTGTTAATTATAATTAAAAATTTGTTCTTCTGTTCATAAATAAAACTTATTTTTCTATTGTAATTATTTCCAGTAGTTCTAATTGATTGAACTACAATAATAACCTATAATTCTCAGAAACAAGTAGTAAATATTGTTTATTCAATATGGATATCTTAAATTCTAAAAATCCAGAGGACTTCATAAAACCCCAAATTCTTAATCTGGGAAAATGCAATTACAGAAGGTATGGAGCGGAAATCGAAATTCAAAATAAAAACACTTCTAAATTGGGTCCATATTTAGATAACGATGGTTGGTTTTGCAATTTAAGTTCCATATTATAACATATAATGTGTATTTTGCAGATGATATGATTAACTGTGCAGAAATTGAGGATGATTTGGAAATCAAAGTAACGAAAAGTGGAAAGTTTATTGCCCAATTTCATATTGCTCCGTGAGTGTCTTTTCATTTATGCTACAAACAAATTGAATTATTACTTGCAGAGTATTTTACCCGACAATAATTGGTGTAAAGGGTACAAATAAAAGGCAACTGGAATCTGCTACTGATACAAGCATAAAGATCCCAAAGGTAGGTGAATCTGGTAACATAATCATAACTGGCAATTCAGAAAGGAGTATTTCATCGGCACATGCAAGACTTCAAATGCTTGTTTTGCAATTGAGAGATAAACAGCAAATGACCCATTTCATCTCTGTACCAGTTGCATCAAGTGAAATCGACAAGCAATTCCAGATATTCAAAGTATGGTATTTTATATTTTTTTTTGAGTATTTTAATTGAAGAGTAGTCTAATTTATTAGATGGTCCTCCATTGAGAGGTGTTGATGATAGTATATTTCAAAGACCAAATAAGTTCCATTTGACTATTGCTCCATTGGTGCTGATGGATAATATTGAAAAGCTCTTGGCAATCCAGCTTCTACAGGAATGCAAAGAGGAAATTATTAGGTCAATAAAGAAATAGCATCATATACATATTTAACAAACAACTTTTAGTCCTCTTTTTAAAAACGCTAATCCCATGAGGATAATCCTTGAGGGATTGGAAATTATGAATGATGATCCTAGTGACGTCGATGTTTTGTATGCCAAAGTCAAACTAAGTTTACCCAAATATGGGAGCAGTTTCCAAAGCATGGCAGACAAGATTGTCGAACATTTCGCTAACAAAGGTAATTAACGAAATGATGATTTAGAAAAAATAATTATTTTAATTATCGCAGGTTTAATTAGAAAGCAATACGAGAGCGTCAAACTGCACGTGACTTTAATGAATTCGCTGTTTCGTAGAGGGAATGCCCAAAATGAAAGACACGTCAGAGAATCGTTCGATGCCACCTACATATTACAAAAATACAAAAATTTTCGCTTCGGTGAAACTGATTTGAACGCTGTTCATCTATCCATTAGATTTGTTAATACTGATGGAAAATACTATGATTCATTGAGCACTATTAACATATTTTGAATGCTATACGTTAATAAGTAATAATTCATTTTAATACGTTTGTTATTGTAATTAATTATTTCCCAAAATATTTGTAATGGAAATTTACTGCAAATGTGAAAACAATGAATATTTACCAACATTTTTTTTTTGTAAAAAACAAGCAAGACAAAAACTTTTGTTATCAATAATTGTTATAATTATAAAAAGGTATCAAGGAATTAAGCGTATTAACTATCTAATTACGTAAATGGTGATAAGGATGCATACATACGTACAATCATTAAATTATGTAAATATTTAAGATTCCTAAAAAAAATCCAACAGTTAACGTAATTATGGTTAATTGTTGTAACACGATGTGTTCGTCTTGTGGGACAATAATAATATTATGTCCAAGTTGTTCCCCTCTTATTATTCCGACGAGATAATACATTATCGGACTTAATATTCCTCAGTAAATGGTTTGGTTAGTTCTTGTTTACTTATTGATAATTATTTTACAAGACCGTGATGTGTATGCAGCAGAAGCAATCTTATTCAGTGATCAACAACATTAAATGCTAACAATGTAGAGTATTTATATATATATATATATAAATATCTGCAGTTTACCGTTTATGAATGCTGTAACGTTCCTTAAACAATATTTGTATAGAACTGTTTTTACGAGTCCAATAAAATGGTTATACAAAACTCCAACAACAATGTTGCCTATTACACAGGATACACTTACAGTTCAATACAAAGGCTACATAGTAAGTATATTCATGTTCCATCAAATACAAATCTTAACAGTTCTATAAATTAGTACTTTATTAATACCTATATTAAGATACATTACATACAAAATCATGAAGACTAAGAAACTATAACCCAAGATCATATAACATTCATCATTTTATTGTTAGAAATTATTTGAATAGTTTATTCTGAAAACTTCTTCGTTCTTGAAATCAACTCTTCCACTTAAAAACTCTGATTGTTTTGTCTCGTTTTATTAACATTCGAAATTATCAGTTGGCCGCGCCTGGACTATAAACAATTCATTGAAATATCCAATCAATGAAAGTAATTTCGTTCAATTCAAGAAAAAATAAAGTTCAGCAACTAATTTACTAAAAGTGTACATGAGTTGCAATCATTCACTCTCATTTATGAATTGCTATTAGTTTGTATTGATAAAATAAGTAAATAATTAAAATATTAAAACGATAATTCATTCTAAATATAGATACATCTTCTTTGTAGTTTATAGATAAAGTCAATTTTTATATTTTATAATAAACAGAGCGAGTAACTGACATTTTCAGCCTTGCACTCCCGTTGTTTTATCACTAAATTACTCAAAAACTAATAAAAGGATTATCGCTTATAAAGTTCCATATTAGTGTTTAAGCAATAATTGTTTCAACACTACTACTAAATTGAATACATTTTTTATATTAAATGTAATATTTGCGATGTTTCAATCAACAGAGAAACCTAAAATCCAAGGTTTATAGAAAATCCAGTTACGAGTAGTTACTTTATCAATATTTTGTAAACTTAAATATTATTTACAAGTTTCCATATTTTTGTTTGTTTGATTGTTTACTACATCGTTACGCATTCAAGCAAAGATCACGAGTACAAATTTTCCAAGTATATTTACAAAGCAAAAGGCAATACTGCGGAAAATATCGCAGATTAAGTGAAGCGTCGCAACAGATAACAGTTTAGGATATGCCGAAGTAAATAATTATTTCAAATTGAGGCAAATTTCGTATTAAGAATACAACAATGGAAATTTTGAAGTGGTTGCATCAGTAAACAAAGATAAAGGTGGATCAACTCTACGAGCTGTGGAAGAATCCGTTCAATATAAAAACATATAACAAATAAAGATAATAAAGATCTTTCGCGTCTAATTTGAATATCTAAATATAAAATTGCAGAAACCTGTAAATTGGGTTATGGATTTTTATCTGTTTATAGCCCTAAAACAGAGTTAAACACGCGTGAATTGACAAGAAAAGGCTATAAACATGTTTTGACATTGTTCAAATAAGGGAGACTAGAAGTTTGATTAATCGATATGTTAATTTTCTACTTGTATAGACGTTATCAAATGTGATAAGAAATAATTCAGCTTGGAATTACAACACAAGATTATTTTCTAATGGGTGCACATTCTCCTTTTGATTTAAAACGAAACTGCATGAGGTATTTTTCTAGAATATTTTAACATATATGTGTAATAATATTAAGGAATTCACATGTCTAAAAATATCTGTTTTATTTCAGAAATTGGAAAGATGCATGGAGTCAAGAGAGTTATGATATTCTGTGTGATGACCACAATATTACCAACTTTCTTGATTGTGACCCCATTGTATCTCAGACATAGCATCTTTGCTGATGTTTCTTACCCGGTGGCTGAATCTGATGTGGTAGCAATAATGGACGGTATATCATCCATTTTCTGTGAATCCCAAACATTGAGAATGAATACTTCCTTCAATGCATTTCAATTGAAACAGTCTCCTGAGCTTAGTCCCAAGCGTAAGCATATTCGTCTAAAGAAGTCTATGACTCTCCCAGACGATACATTGGAATATTGGGGATTTTATCTGTTGAAGGGTGCAACTGTCTCACTGAAAGTATGTTCTAGATATGAAGGTTCCAGGCTTTTAGTTGTGCGAGGAGAAAAGAATCTGAGGACCTGTGGATTACTGGATCACAATCAGAAAAAGTTTGGAGCAACCATGGATGTTGAATACAAACAGGTGAAAGTAACATTTGAACATGCCCAGGAACTTGGAGATGTAAATGAATTGAATCGGAACAATGCAGCAGAAGAAGGAATTGGAACAAATGCAGATGTGTTTGTTAAGCAGAGGCTAAATAAAAGCAAAAAGATACTCAAGGAACCTGTCCATCCAAAAAGACATGCACATAAGAAGCACTTGTTAAGTGAGGAGGAAGAGATTAAATTAGATGAGATTCAACATGAAGAAACGCGCAATAAACGAGACATTAATCAAATATTGGATGGAAGAATTGAGCATGGTGGAAATGCTATTAATTACACAAAAGATCAATCGTTTGAAAATAGCGTTTCCAGTTTTGAGACTGACCTACTAACATGTTATGATGGCTCAATTTTATTAACACAAGGTTTTAATCCCTCAAAGCTTTGCACTGATGTACATTATTTAGATCGTAGTGAACACATGGAAACAATCCACGAGGTTGGAAGTGATGGATATTATTATTACATCTTTTACTCTGACAACGATTTCATTACGAATGATATTCACGCAGTCTTTGATGTATACAAACCAACATACCAATATATGAACAACTCTAAAGACAAAGAATGCATCAATGTTACTGAATGCCACTTTCCAATCAAATTTTGGTCTGATGAAAGAGTAATAGTGGAGGTACCAACTCATGATGGAATAGAACACGAAGAAGATAATATTGCTTTATTAATTAGCACATGCCACCCAAGAATGGGTATTTATATTGTTTTTCCTATATCAGTTATGTTCCTCATTCTTGGTTGTGCTTTCTTATAAAGATTCACTCGATAATACTACCTCCTAATGACTGAAATTATATATATATAGTCCTTTTTAATTATTATATTCTAGTCTAATATTTTCAATGTTGATGGTTGTTTTAAGTCGTAAGTCAGTTAACTACGTACAAATTGATGTGTACAAATACCGAAATAAGGCTGTTCAATTTTTATTTCTATTATAACGTTTTTACTGTTTCGTCAGTTGTAGTTGGAATTTTTGTGCCAATAATAGTAGTTTTCTTTTTTATTATTATTAAATCAATAATTTTAAAGTATGTGATGAAGATTATATTTTTAACTTTAAAATTTATATAATGTACCAAGAGCAAGTGATAAACGTTGAATTTATTGTTGAATATTTGAGAATATAAATATATATATTTGTGTTACAAATACATTGAATGTTACAAGATTATAATTGTTTTATTTAAATACTTTAGGAAACCTCAGTTCTATAACAAAAAGAAAACCGTTAAAATTTCAAAAATAATAATTTATAGCTTCAATAATAGCTCTACATTTTACATTATTTGCAGAGCGGTTGTTGATAAACGCTGATTTAGATTGACTCAAATTGCATATTATAGGTTTCAATTATAATAATTTAAACTTCACGTAAAGAAGAGGGAAGTTTACAGAAACATTGCGATTAGAAAGTACTGAAAACGGTTATTGGGTTATTGACAATGGATACATTTTCTATGAGAAGTATACCTGCTCTTAGTCTTCGGTTAAAATTCCAAGAAAAAATATTTCACTTACTCTCCAGATTTTACCAGAACATGGTAATTATCTTGTAGTATAAGTGAAACAAAGTCTACATATATAACTAAAGTTTATTTATATAATTCTACAAATAAGTGTATTCAGAATATATATATATAGATTAAAATAGATTTCTTTAATTAGTAAAAATAAAATAATATTGACATTAGGATAACAACAAAATCAGTCAAACATATTTCAAACTTCGCGGGGTTTACCACGTTGGGGTTCTGTTTCCGGGAAGGGTCCCTGTGCCTCTTTAACAAAGCGCACCATTAAACAAAAACCTCCCACCCTTACTGTCCCTTCGGTTTATGGTCAAAGTAGGTATATTTACTAAGTCCCTTGGAAGGTAATCTGGTATCATTGTCAGTTTGGCAGTTCATTTCGAACAGTTTCATCGTCCGCTTAAAGGTTATATTATTTCGTGCTGAAGCGTAGGAATATCACACCTTGCGGAGACTACTAGAAGCCTTTTCCGTTCTAACAAACGCAAGTGGAACATGTCGCATACGTCTGAAAGAAGGTAAGTTTTGTTTTTTTTTCGAGTTTATTTCGAGTGTTTGACGATAAATTGCATATAGATGATTGTAAATACTGTGAGGCTATGTTTCTGCTGGTTCAGATCCGCGGCTTTCGTGTATTTTTTGTGCTTTTCGTTGCGGATTTCGGCGTGTAGATTTCCATATAACTCGCCTGAATGCCAACATGGCGTGGTCATTTTCTAACAAATTTTTCTGCGGATAATGATCTTCGCACTCTTCGGTCTATAAATAAATCGAAGACGGCGGCATTTCCAACCACCCTGTGAATTGGCGGTTAAGTGGCCCTATGTCATAAGCCCCCCATCTTTGAATGGCGGTTAAACTCTGTTCCTCACTTGATAACGTTCAACACGCTAATATCACTACATAACCCACGTGAAATTCGGATCCTTCGTTATGTAATTTAAATAATGTTTTAGACTTTATAAATAGACGTTTCTGTTGAATATTTGAAAGCTAATATTTTGGCAATCCATGGATTGTCACTTACCGCCATTATTCTTTTTCTATATCCAAACATTTAATTGCATTTTCTATTTCACATTCATTTACCAAATAATTTACGTATTATTAATTCAATTAATAGTTAAAACATGATTATAGATATAATTGGTATCTAATCTTTGTTTACTACATCGGGCAAAGTTCTTCTAAAACAAGCATCCCCAAACTTATTCTTGGAACAAGATAGTTATATACAACATTACTAATCTGGGTATTCCACAATATTAAATATTAGTCACTCTTCAATTATTATTATTATTTCCATCACAAAGGTATTTGTGACTAATATAGCATCTATTTGGAGGTTAAATTCAAGTCTGATCAACATATTCTTTGTTGTGAGTTACTGAATTATAACAATGTAATCAATTAGTTTGGTTATACTTAAACACAAATGTACTTATTAATAATGTATGCTATAGTAATTTATTAATTATGGAATTATTTCTTAAAAGTTGATCTTCCATAAAAATATTGTGGAATGTGTATGCATATTTGTAGTAAATTATTTCACCAGCATTAGAAACACTTCATTATAATTTTAAAAAAATGTATTTCTCGAATAAGTTCTGAAATTCAATTTGAAATGAAAGGTTGTTGTCCTTGTATATTTAAATGTTGATTTTTTTATTTCATTATTTATATTAATGTTAATTTTGGTTTTAGTAAATCTGAAGAATGGTCAGCAGATAAAAATGGACCAACCTCAGATATTCAAAGCATGGAAGGCCCACCAGGAATGGACCCTGATGGTGTCATCCAATCCAACTGGGAGGAAGTTGTTGATAACTTCGATGACATGAACTTGAAGGAAGAACTCCTCAGGGGTATTTATGCTTACGGTTTTGAAAAACCTTCTGCTATCCAACAGAGGGCAATCATCCCATGTGTGAAGGGACATGATGTCATTGCACAAGCCCAGTCTGGTACTGGTAAGACCGCGACGTTCTCGATTTCGATCCTTCAGCAGATCGATACTGCGTTGCCAGAATGTCAGGCACTGATCTTGGCCCCAACCCGTGAATTGGCCCAACAAATCCAGAAGGTCGTAATCGCTCTCGGCGATTTCATGTCGGCCCAATGCCACGCATGTATCGGTGGTACCAATGTCCGTGAAGACATTAGGAAATTGGAGCAGGGTGTTCACGTAGTCGTGGGTACACCCGGACGTGTATTCGATATGATTAATAGGAGGGCTCTGCGCACCAATAGCATTAAGATGTTCGTGCTGGATGAGGCTGACGAGATGTTGTCTCGTGGTTTCAAGGATCAAATTCACGATGTCTTCAAGACTTTAAGCATGGACGTTCAAGTAATTTTGCTTTCGGCTACAATGCCGGTTGATGTAATGGACGTAACCAAGTCGTTTATGAGAGATCCAGTGAGGATTTTAGTCAAAAAGGAAGAATTGACACTGGAAGGTATCAAACAGTTTTACGTGTTTGTCGAGAGGGAGGATTGGAAGTTGGAGACCTTATGTGATTTGTACGATACTTTGTCGATTACGCAGGCCGTAATCTTCTGTAACACAAGACGCAAGGTTGACTGGCTCACTGAAAACATGCACAAACGCGACTTCACTGTTTCTGCCATGCACGGCGATATGGAACAGCGTGAGCGTGATGTTATCATGAGACAGTTCCGAAGTGGTTCATCTCGTGTTCTCATCACCACCGATTTGTTGGCTCGTGGTATCGATGTCCAACAAGTCTCTCTTGTAATTAACTACGATTTGCCTTCCAATAGGGAGAATTATATTCACAGGTACGATTATTTCATTGATACATTTATATGGACGATATATGATTAGTTGTTAATTGACGAAGATGATGATTATTAACGCACTCGTTTTGCTTTTTAGGATTGGTCGTGGTGGACGTTTCGGCCGTAAGGGTGTGGCGATCAATTTCGTTACTGAAGATGACAAGCGCGTTCTTAAGGACATCGAGACTTTTTATACTACTCGCATTGTCGAAATGCCCATGAATGTGGCAGACCTCATCTAATTGGCTGTTTGCTGTGTCCGTCGTTGCCTAGAGTTTCCTATGGTGTGAGTATTAGCTACACTGTGCCCCGTGTCTGCGTTTCTTATGCGAATATTGTGCGCCATTACGTCTCTTTAGGGCAGCGCCGTCCGCGTGCTCTCAGCCCGCATTATATAAAAATATAAACATTTTACCAAGTGTGTATTTATCCTTTCAGTTGAATTTTATTTCCTTTTTAATTTTTCAATATTCTGTTTTATTTTTTAATTTTTTTTTAAATTAATATTCAATTTTTTTTTGTATTGTCTATATAGGCTAGTTTGTAAGTAGTGCTAGTGATAATTAAGTTAGACGATTTGTACTGTATGGGCGGAGGGGTTTGCAAACCCCGGGACGACAGTGCGTTTGCTCGCGCAATCGTCACTGCCGTACCCCAGCAGCATTCTCGTCTCCGCAAGGGTTTAGTTGGATTCTGGAAAGGTTTTTTTAATCACAAAAGATGCCGAAGAAGATTTGACTATTTTCAATTAGTGTTGCCAATTTTGTATGACCATTAATATTACTAATAAAACTGGTAATTAAATAAAGTCTTTTATTCCCGTTTTACTATTATCTGTACATGAAGTGTTTCGATCACACAGCCAAGTGTCATTTGTTCATTCAATGTTTATTTGAAATAAGGTTTATATTATTATTATTATTTAACCTTAGCCTCTCCAGCGTCAGAACAAAAACCCTGTGCTAGCTACATTGAGAGAATTTACTGCTTCTCCATAAATGCGATGCGTATTATTTAAAAAAAAAAAACTTGTTTACTTCATGAAACAAATTATGAATATTTGTGCTTATCACTTGTTATTCTCTTATTTCAGGCAGCCAGGGCCCACAAAATATGGAAATAAAGATCATACAATTTCCATTATAACATCAACTCAGTGGTTTTGCTTCTTAAATATATACCATTTTACAACAACCATTTCCATTAACAATCTATCCTCAACAACAACGTACGTCTCAGTTTCAATACAGAACAATTATAATATATACATATTTATATATATATATAACTTTAAAAAATGATACATGATATTTGACTTTTTACACAATGCAGCTAATATTAATAAATTATTTTATGGTATATAAAATATTTTAAATACTCACCTCTTAATTTCTCTTTTACTTTGTACGTATTTCTTCTTTTTTTTACTGTATCTTGTTTATTATCATCAATATCATCCTCTATTTTCAATAGAAATGTAGATAAGCGCGAACAAAGTGTTTTCCCCAGTAGTTTTAAGGAAAATTTTTGTTAGGCAACTAAACACACACGTGAGCAAAGTGGTCATTGATCTAATGTTCTACCATTCATTTAATATGAAGTAAATAAGATTGTAAACTATAAAAATATTATTTTATGTATTTATAAGTTTATTTAATAAAATAACATTTTTATCTGTAATAAAATATTTAAGAAATATAATTACTGTAATCGTAAGATGTATGTATACCTTGAATATAATTATAAACTCTATTTCTATATATTATTACTTTAGCAAACCAAAAAGTAGTTAAAAATGAGAAAGAAAACCTCGTATCAAACCTCGTGTTTCGTTTAACGATAAGTTTTGGTGTTTCCTGTTCTATTCAAATATGATAAATATAATATCAAAAGCCAATTTTCATTTTAAAACGTAACTGTTTAAGTTTTAATTCAAAATTATTTGTATATAATGTACACCAATTTAAATCTTGATCATACAACTGAAATAACGATAATGGATGGACGCTCAAGATTTAATGGAATACTTTACCAGAACGGAAACAGTTTCATAAGTAATACCTTTTAACAACACGAACATTAATACGGATGAAGGATTCATCAGTTAAGTGGAAAAACTGTGGTTCTTTGAGGTCTTGCTATCAAGAACAGTGCATTATTTCATTGGATTATCAAAAAAAATCACTTAAAAACAAATGTTTAGATTTCTAATTAACTTACCAATTTCGTAACTTATTAAATGTTTTCATAGTGATAAGTTGTAAAAATAATATTATGTGACTAATTCTAATGTGTTTAATCGTTTCATACACATACATTGTTAAAAAATCACGTTTCGCATATATCGCTCGATAACAGATCTTTTTAATAACGCGGTCACTGTTGCATGATGATTCATAACGCTTGAGTAGCATCATAATTGTTACGTCAATTTAAAGTAGAAAAATTTCTATGAATTTGAATAATTAAGTGCTTTAAATACTAATTTAATTTTTCGTGAAATGCTCACTATTACTACTCAAATAATATACAGTGGAACCTCGCTTAACGAGCAAATTGAATTGTAAGAAAAATGATGCTCCGCATAACGAGTGACGATGTGAAGAGAAATCCCGGATTGCGCGCCTTCTACATCATTTTAAAAACTTGTGTACACATATTTTGAATATGAATATGTAAAAATCCGGAAATTTTGGAACGGATTAAACTCGTTAAGCGAGGTTTCACTGTATTATAAAAATATTGTGGAAATTCATTTAGCTTTTCAAATTACTTGTTTAAGTAAAGAATATTAAATGAGATTGAACGATTAGTAGCAGAAAATTTGCCCCAATTAAATGAAATGTATTAACTATTTTTTAATTAGTTAATTAATATTTCTGACAAATCTTAATGGACATCAATTATGTTAGACGCTTCTAAACTTTAACTCTTACAACGTCTTTAATTAATATTTAATTAGTTGCAACTAGTTCAAAGCATGCAATAATATATACTATATAAGCAATAAAGATGTATAGTAATAATCTAACGAAATATGAATTACATATGTTATCTAAGCTTTTCTTGTGTTTGTAATAAGTCATTTAAGTAAATAATTTAATTTCTGTCATGTTTATTTATATTAAAGTGGAAATTTTCAGTTAAATAATAAATTTTAAATATGAATTGATTAATTTCAAGTTTTATGAGTATTTGTTATAAATTATTGCATTATTTAAGTTTTCGGTTGTAAATGAAGAAGGTTTATTGTTTATTTGTGATGGAAAACTTTTCTGAAATAATGCTTATTTATTATTTTAAATGTACATTTATTGAAAGAGTGATTTAAATAATGAAGTTGGGAATGCTTTCAATTTAAAATTGTAGCATTTCCATTAAGTTATGGTATGTTGATCTGATGTGAAATTAAATGAATTGTCACTGTGACTGGAATACATTTTAAAAAATTGAGTTATAGAAGTAGTGCATGTGAGTTTAGGAAGGTTTTTAACTTTGAATCATTGCATTTGGCGTTCGGTATTGCAGAAACAATTAATTGGAGTGTTCGAACGAATGTTGTAACAGAAAGTGGTCTTCGCATAAGTGCTTGTATTCGTTTTCGAAATTGATATTTCAAAAGTGAGCGGTTCTGGAAGTTAGTGATTTTCATTTTGTCTCCAGAGCGAGGAGTGAAGCGGAACACGTACAGTGGGGTGGGGCGCGTGCGCAGTCGCCATCCTCGCTGGACTTCCGTTCCGGTCGAGCCCGTCGAAGTCAGCTTTAGTCATTGCCGTGCGTCAACTACACTAACTAGTGTTCATCTGGTGTTAGCTCCGTGTGTGCCGTGGTATCAAAATCAAATTTTCCAACATGAGCTGGCAGGATTACGTCGACAAACAACTCTTGGCCTCCCGTTGTGTCGCGAAGGCGTGCATCGCCGGCCACGATGGAAACGTCTGGGCCAGATCGGACGGCTTCGAAGTAAGTGCCCACCATCTCCACCCACCCCCCACGATATCTATATATATATAATCCATCCATCCATCCATACATATACATACAACACACCTAGCTCAAGCAGAATACTTTCAAACAAAGAAAAAGTCCGAGAGAAATGTCTCATGACACACAGCATGAGAGAGCATGTGTCCTGCTGATCGTAGCATTCCATCTAAATAAAGTAAATTGTATATTTTTTTTTTGTTTGGTTCTGAAGTGAACAAGGAAAAAAAAAGAAGGCAACCTCCTATAGTCGTCGGCGTTCGCTGGGCTTGGCCTTTTTGCACGTCGCAGGCGGCTTGGCTCCTTCCTGCTGCTGCAGCTGGGAAACCGCACGCATCGGCAGGCCGCAGTTTTCTTATTGGATTTTCAGCGAAAAGCCGGCCGGCCGGCTGGCTACCTACCACACTTCTCTGCTCGTATGCGTTTTGGGCCTTGAAACGAAAGTAGCCGGCGCGGAGTCACAAAATGGCGGCCGATGTCTATATCTGCGACGTGTAGAAATACAAAACTCTACATTCGCGGATTACACTTGCACTCTCATCAATGTACACATTTTTTTTTCCTTTTCCTCAATCTGCCACATTTTCAACTATTTCCAACTTGTAATTGTAATCTTTTCCTACGCAGGGTTTTATTATTTATATATTTTTTGAATATTTTCCAACAACTTCGCTTATCTGCAAGATACACCTAGGAGACGGACTCTATATCCAATGACTCATACATTCTTTTTCTTCGATATTCTGTAACGTAAACTTTGATGAGTAACATCACTGTTTAAGGAGAACTATGTCGTCTAGCGCATTAATTGACTGCAGCTTTTTCACATAATTTATTGCTCGAACGCCCAGCGTTCCCTTTTTCAGACACACGAGACTATCAACTCGATAGTTTTTAAATTGGCAGCGTCCATCGACGGCGCTGCGGCTCTTGTAGAAGGCTTCTAGGCGATGCGAAAAGTCTGCACCTGCCATTGTTGTGTAGGCGAAGGTCATCATGCTTCTCTTTTTATTTTAGTCCAATGAGGTGGTTTTTGCCACAAGGTCATTTGGTAAATTTATTGATTTCATTTAATATATATATGCAGTATTCGAAGAAACTTGGCTTCGGTTCCGAAATGCCATCATAGGTACTTCGCATCCATATCTCATGACTCACCGCAGCCGCCATCCATTTACAAACGCGTCTTCTTTCAATTACTAAAATACGCATTTTTTTCTCCCCAAATTCGATTCATTTTTCGGGTCAAACGCAAGTAATTACGTGCACCTAATTGCCTTCAATAAATTATTCAATAGACGCACTCATTAAAGTACCATATTTCAAGTGGTTATTACTAAAAAAAACAGTTTATCAGCGATAAAGCCACTGCTGCTCATATCAAGCTATTACATAAATTGTTTTAAGTATGCGGGGGCTTTAATGAACGGCTTCGTTTCTTCATACAGGTTGAATTTTTTTTTGTAGTTGGTGGTTGCAGATGTGTAGAGTAGAAGATCCTTGCGTTCCGCGACGCAAGGTGAAGGCTACTAGGCGCAATGACCGGCGTTTGATCAATCAATAGATGTGCATGTCCATTGTGCAAATGTCGGAAGGGGACGCCCGTTGAAGCCCAGTCAATGGGGAGCTGATATTGTACAGCCACCCCATCCATCCGTCTGTTGTGTGCGGAATTCGATCAATATATTTGTTGTCCGGGCGCGCTCGAATCACCATCATCCTAACCGGAACACTGTACCAAAAGTAAAAGCAACAGTGAAACGGATGCGAAACATGTGTTAAGATATATATATATAAATTTATGCTCTTCAATTAGTACATATAAATGCTTCATGGTTAATTAATGTACATAACTGATGCACGATGAAAAACTGGTCTCAATTAAGTGAAAACTTTCATTTAAACGGTTTACTTCATCATATCAAAGACACTATAATTAATTGAATCAAAAAAAAAGTAATTTTATTTTCAGAAATCATTTTTTTAAATAATATTAACACGAGACGCGCACATTTACTGTTTAGCAAACAGTACATATTTCTCAATGTTTCTGTACGAACATGTGCAATAGTTGGAGATATTTAAATGGTAACATAGTATTTATTTTTGTAATTCGCATTTTTACGATTTCATCATGTGCAGTGTGTGCAAAACTGATTTGTGCTTACCTTGTCGTTTCAAGCCATTACCTGATATTTCACCAAATATAGGCAATTCAAGTTGTACAATTACTTAAGTTTCGTTAGCTAATTAATTTCTGTTTCTCGACTCGATATCCTTTTCTTTTCAAAGAGATGCACAATCAATGTACACTATTTACTACAAATTATTTCTAATAAAAAGAAAGGGCGTGTTCATGTGTTGTAAAATAATATATGAATTTATAAATACATTTTTTATTTTATGGAAAGTTTCACGGCTTAAATTGCGAGTGTAAATTAATACTAATGATTATGATTTAAAGCTTCGAAATGGTAACTGTACGTCCATCTGCATGGACATTCTAATTTATTCCGTTGAATCTAAATAAATATATATAAACAATTTTGGTAAAAAGGACGACACGTCAATATGTTGCTGGCAGTGTTTATCGCCACTTAACTACAATATTTGATCTGAGAAAAGGATCAAGTTCGATACTATTTATAAATATAATAAGTGCAGTTATTATGATAGGGTGTTGATTGCAATTGAATCATCCATTGTTCGAAATGTGATTTATTTAATCCGGCTTGTTTATAAATACATGCGCACTGTTTGCAATGAATACTTGTTTGTAATTAATGGAAACCAGATATCAGATACGGCGCGCGTATAAATAAAGCAGACTCTTAGCAACAACGCGAGAGAAAAAAATATAAACGGATCTTATGAAATATTTAGATGTTTTATCTGGAACGTGTATAAAGTTTAATTGCATACACTCATAACGGATCCCTATCGTATCTACCTGCATTTTAAAAAAGAAAACGATAATTCAAGGTATTTGTTTTCGAGTCGTCTCCCATGTTTTCGCATTTAATTGACACGTCTGGACGGGAAACAAATATCGCTTTCGCGAAAGATTCGGTTTGCAATTCTTGGACAAGCGCATTTATTAAAAATCTACGTTAAACTTGTTTGATTATTTGTCTTATCATAACGGCTGGAATTTTGGCGGATGTCTGTGGATTGGGTTCAAAGATTAATCCAGGAAGAGGTTGCGGTCTCTCTTTTATCGCCTTAAAAGTGAATGCGCACACACACACAAAAAAAAATCCTAATATGTCGCTTAAACGGTTTGAAAAGGTGACGTGCGGAGAGTGCGAATTTTATTGCGTTTGGCAAAAGCTCAATCCATCTATTTCTGAAATTCTAACGGAGACCCCACGCAAATTGCACGGGAATAAATCATAACTGAGTTAGTTTGAAAAATGTAATTCAATGGAAATGATTGTATTAAGACCTCTTCTCTTCTCATTTTTTCTTACTTTGTTCTGTGTGAATAAATAATGCATACGAATGTGTTATGCATGTATCCCCAATAAAAGGTCAACAGGTTTTGCGTAAACCATATGCTATTATAATTATCATTCGTGTCATATAAGGAGTAATTCAAGATCGCTTGAATTTGAATTCCGTTTGCTCTTGACTCGGATAAACGCACGCACATGACGAATCCGTCGATTTGTGCTGTTAGTTGAGTTGAGATCATTTGTTGAAAAAAATAATATATAAATTGAGATTTCGTTGCGAGTAATTCTTGTTGGTGGAAAAGAGTCTCGGATAAGGGCAAATGGAGGTGGTGTCCTTGCTCCAAATCCTTAGCTGCAGTAACATGCTCATAAATGAAAAGCAGCGGACTTCACTTTCTAAATTGTTTATCATGAAACGATCAACGGATATATTCATATACTAATTCTGTTTTTTCTTTCTTGCAGGTGACGAAAGAGGAGCTGGCAAAGTTGGTGCAGGGCTTCGAGAAACAAGATATCCTAACATCATCTGGTGTCACCTTAGCGGGCAACCGTTACATTTACCTATCTGGTACAGACCGTGTTATCCGATGTAAACTGGGAAAGGTCGGCGTGCACTGTATGAAAACGACACAAGGTGAGGACGGACGGACGCTCGTGGTTGTTGGCATTTAACATACTTCAACTGAAGCAACCTTTAGCAATATTCAGAAAAGATACGCAACGATGTGTTTACTTTAATTAAGCGATTAAGGTCGATTACGTTGCATAAAAATATTACCTATTTTATTTTGTTATAATAACGGTATTAATAGTTGAAGCTAGAAATGAAAAGCGAAATATTGTAATGTAAAAGAGCGCCGGTTTGTGAAAGTAATTGGCTTTCGAAGAGATCGCACATGTAGGACACACGAAATATGAAAATCTTCTTGATTTCTATTTTACTAGGCAGGCATTTACGGCGAAGTGTATCGCGTGCTTTGAATTATTCCACTGCACACACATATACATATATAATTTATCTAATAGCATTCCGAGCCAAAGAAATATAAACTTATAGCCAATTTTTATTTCAATTTTTGCATATATTTATTCGTCGCTGTTATTTATAATTTGTAACTGCGTCGTTACGTTGTAAAGTGATAATCTGTATCAGTTTACACGCGCCGCGTACGTTTTGGCAATGCGTACAATTCTTGCGCATTTTTGCGATACTCATATGGGTCAACATACTTTTCGCTAAATATAATACCTCCTACCTTGGCATAAAGCCACGGGCGCAGCTTACCTGAATCTTCGACAATTTCGTAAACAATTTGAATGCTCTTTAATGAATTATTTATCCGTAAATGCCTTGAGGCCACGTCGACAACAATAATTATAATAATAATAACAATAATGCATTGTTCGTTTTCAGCCGTGGTAGTTTCCCTTTACGAAGATCCTATCCAACCTCAACAAGCAGCGTCTGTTGTAGAAAAGTTAGGTGAATACCTAATGTCCTGCGGTTACTAGAGGTGAGTCTCATCGTCGACGTGATTTATTTCTTTATTCTATTACATATGATCATAAAGTAGACTTTATTTTTATAATGCCTTCATTTGCCAGATTTAATATCTATTGTTCCACTGTCGCCCCGTTTCTAATTATCAATCAAATAATATGCCTATAAACAACGTGATACAATATCTAAATTCCAAATTGCGTTATTCAAATGATACATTGTATTATAACTAATACGACTACACGTATTCGTTTCGTAATTAATTATGCATCCTAAAATGCTGTACAAATATAACAGAGAGTTATGTGGCGCCGCGTGTAGAATGTCTATAATTAAGAGTGTGTCTTTTGTTCCAGATTAGTAAGATCGCCGCTTCATCCGACAACCACGCGGCAACAACAACCTACATTATAAAATTTTGTATTTTGCGAAACAAGCAATGTGTATATCAAGTGCGTTCATTTTTATATAATAATAATGTATTAAAAAAGAAAAAAACAGGAAACAGAAAAAACAACAACAACCAACCAACCACCACCAAGTCGGAACGATTCATGCATTCACAAATTTGTATTTAATTATTATACTACCCCCCCAGTTTCAATGTAAAACTTGTGGAATCTTTTATAAGCCTCCAATATATATAATCTTATTCAGTATTTTTTTTTTTTTTATTATTTTCGATTTAAATCCTATGGTTCATCGCGCTTATAAAACGATTCACATTGCTAATAAACTACGATTACTATTATTACTATTTTTTTTTTCTTTCAGACTGTGGTCTCATGATAATATAATATTATTTTTGTGTTTTTTTTTATATATGATTTAAGGATGTTTAGGATTACATTTTTTTCTTTCTTTTTAGTACCGACTTTATTTAAGCATTTCGTGTTAGCTTCTTTTTCCTATACCATTGCTATCTACTATAATAATAATAATAATTTTTTTTTTCTTTAATTTAATACTGAAAACTTACAGTTTAGGGTTTTTAATAAAAAAAATCTCTAGTCCCGCTGGTTTTCTTTATTTTTTACTTTTCATTTATTTTTTAAATAAACAAGTGAAACGAACAAAAATCTGCAATTAATACACACTCTTTTTTTTATTTCTACTCCTTAACATCTCTTCTTTCTTTCTTTCTTCATCCTTGCTTTTCGTTGTTTTCTTTTAAAACCGGAAGCGCCTCGTGTTCCATCCGTGGATTGCTTTCTTTTTGTTGTTCCCAGGGAAAAGGGCAACAGCGAAGCGCGATTATTTTTGCTTGCTTTCTGCTCGAAAGCGTGAAGCGAAGATAGTTGATTTAGATGTAAGCAAAAAAGCTTTCTTTCGGAAGTGTCAAATTACATGACAATTTCGCGTTTTGGTAAGGTCTTTTTTTCTCTCTATACTAATCTCCATTTCCCCGCTAATTACTAGACTCTTTAGTGATAGAAGCTTCTATACCAGAAATCCTCGCTCATGCTTTTTGATTGGTGTCCTTTCGTTTTTTATTTTCCTTTCACTCTCATCATCAAAATAAGTATAAATCAGCAAAAAAAAAAGTCGGAGACTAGTTGAAAGTTGCGCACTGGTTTACGTTTGACACTGACGTTAGTTTTTGTGATAATTTTAAACTTGTTGACAGTTTGCCAGTAAGTAGTTTTGAAATCTAATTTTCACGCCAATCGCAAAATGCATTACCGAAATCAGTTCATCCAATTTACCCTGCAAAATATGATTAAGTGTAATAATAGTGGAAGTAATTATTGTAACGCTCACTCATTCTCCACCCACTTTAGTGGTTCTCTCGTTCTATACAATTGGAAAGAACATCAAAGAAATACGAAGCTTTGTAAAACTTTTTCTGATAATTCGCAAGAAGAAAGGATGATGTGTCTACTTGAAAACCATAATAAATTTGTATTATATAAACGTTACGCTCATTTATTTACCCTCACTAGAAATAACGACCGGGTCTTCCATACAATTATCCCATCTCGAGAGAGAGAATGTAATTACGATTTGCAGTTATCTGCATTGGTGGATCCGTTGCCGTGAGCAAATAAATCTCGCTTGTGGGACAAAAGTTGAAAATTTATTGCTGAAAATTTTCAAGAGAGGTACATTTAAATTGTTATCTAAATCTGCCTCGGATGACAAGATTTATTTGCAGGTTTGTTTAGGTCAGGTAAGGAAAACCGGACGAGAAATCCGCACTTGGAATGCGGCAATAAATCTTTTTTAGACACTTTGCTAGTTTTCCTGTTATAATAATATCAGTGAAAACACTAAAATGCACGAGATTAGATAACGAGTGGTAACTTGTAAATAAACTGTTATCATACTACCAGAGGAATGCTTAAAGAAAGCACACGAGGAAAATGTTCATAACAATTTGCAAATTTTATGTTTCACAATATTTTCTAATTATAACAGGTAAGTAAAGTTTAGAACTAATGAAACATGTTTATAATTTGAATTGATGGGGAAAAAACGTTCAGTTATGTCGTAAATGTCGTTATTTTTCGTTTCATTCAAGTTCAAGGTTTGATCTTGGTTTTCTAATCAAATCGGAATTATTATCGTAACCCAATTTTGATAACACTCACATGCCAGATTTTGTTGAACTTTTCCAACGACATATGTGACATAAATACTTCAAAAATGTTTGTATTTGGTTAGCATTTAATCATTTGCAGTTAATCAAGAAAACAAATAATGTTTTCATATGATACGATTTATAAAATTGTTGGATTTTCCCAGTTTCAATCCTAGTTTTTAAAATGTACCTGGAAACTTGAATATCCTTTCATTGAATTGGATTTTGATTAACAAATTATCATTAAGAAAATTCAATTTTGTTAAAAACGTTTTATAATCAACTTGTTTTGAAAAAAAAATACATTAATTTGTTGATAAAGAAGAAATTGTATAATAACATTCACTTAAGTGATCTTCAGATGTAAAACATATCAATAAAAATTGTAAATAAATATAAAATTTTGATTAATAATAACTATTGCTTAATCAATTATACAAAAAGAAGTTGTATACTTCTAGAAACTCTATATTTTAGGTCAACTGTTTTGGATAAATTTAAGCATCATCCGCTGCACATGTTGTTTAACTGTAAACAGTGAAAACAAAATAAATATAAAATGCTAATATATGCAAATAAATGTAAATTATGTTTTGAAAATAAAAATATGCATTTCAACTTACAAATGTGTATTATTATCAACGAAACATCCTCAAAATAAGCAATTTAAATGATCTATTTAAAACAATTAGTTGCCACCGTCTTAAAATTACAACAACAAAAATAATTAGAAACAATAAAAAAAAGTATGAAATGGAAAAAAAAACATGTAAATCATTAAAACTGTATGTTTTACTGCCTGTAAGTGATGATTAGACTATTTTAAAATGACTGTTTATATCATATCAGTATGTAGACAAGATTAAAAGAAATGTTCGTATAGAAAAAATAACAAATATTTTTAAAATTTCTAATGAATTTGTATGATTTAGAAGGTTTTTACTACAATGTGTGAAGTGATATCGTCTAACGAGATTCGTATTTTAACAGGCTATATTTTAAGAGATTTTTCTAGAACTTCTTCTAGTTTATCCTCAAGCTATTATCGTGATGATTCATTTAATTTCATCTTTCAACAGAATAATTTTCGATAGAACTTGTACAATATAATCGTAATATTAGTAACATGTTTTTATTGAACTATAGCAATACCTCGCATAGTCCGGACTATTGAAGCAGGACTAATCAATGACAAGAGTTTTAGTCTGTATAAATACAAACTAAATGTATACACTGTTCATCTTTATGATTTTTCTTTAATTAATTGGAAATAATGAGTGAACCGAGATTAACTTTTGAAAAAAGAAAATTTATTTTAAAATGTTATTGGAAGTATGAAAGTTCGAAGCCAATATTGTATTAAGTTTCAGGCAGATTCACCTACGCGATTTACAATTAATCGGATAAAAGATACGTTTGAAACAAATGGAATTCATTCAGGATGTTTAAAGACAACGTTTCGAGTACACCAAGAACATCAACGAGCTTCACCAGTCAAGAAAGAGTACTGGAGTACAAAATCTGTAAGATCCATCACATTTTCAGACGTTGCAAATGGAAAAGTTACATTCCAACAATGGTACATGCTATCAATGAAGATGATCTGGACTGAAGGAAACAATTTTGTGAATAGTACATGGGATGCACAGTTTTCGGGGAAGATTGTTTGGAGCGATGAAGCTACATTCTCATTAACGCCACTGAACGTTTTCTTGTGTAGATACTTTAAAGATAAAGTTTAAGCCAGAAAATCGACGACTCTGGAAGAATTATAAGCCACAATTTGAGCAAGAATGCGTCACAACAACAAATGAAATGAGAAAAAGTTATACATTTTATAGAAGATTCTTTTGCAATTTAATTATGAAACCGGACTATAGTGAATCCGGACTGTGCGAGGTATTGATGTGCATCAAATTTTTGGACATGCGATGGAGCCGAACGGCGTGGTTCCTTTGTAAACGCACCATGTGTTTCCTATGATTCATCCAGAATGTTTTCTCAGTCCACTCATTTTATTTCATACCAGCTCATTCGAATGAGCGAAAGTAGTATGCTTTAAAATGTTCGGACTATAATTTGATTTGTCCGTAATGAATCTATGTAGAATTCTAACTTTTTTGGTATAAATGTATACAGTTATTCATACAGCTAATGTTATATTGCAAGAAAACTATAATTTAGTATTAGTTACATTGTTTAATTGACTTCTTTACATATCTTTTTGTGCAGAAACTTTCAATTCTGATAATACTAAGTTTTTAAATAAAGAACTAACTTGATACAATTATTAATAATTTGCTATAAACTAATGTTATATTGAAAGAAAACTTATAACTTTATATGTAAATTCGTGCAGACACGTTAAATTGTGATAATACTACATAGTTATTCACTTGACTTTTGGAGAAATGTGGCAAATTTTACTTTCTTAAATAAAGGACTAACTTTATACAATTATTTATAATTTGATTTAAACTAATGTTATATTAAAAGAAAACATAATTTAGTATTAGTTTATTGAATTTTTATATCTAATTTCGTGCAGACACGTTCAATTCTGATAATACTACATAGTTATTCATTTGGCTATTGGAGGAATATGGCAAATACTACGTTCTTAAATAAAGAACTAACTTTATACAATTATTTATAATTTGGTTTAAACTAATGTTATATTGGAAGAAAACTTATAATTTAGTATTAGTTACATTGTTTTATTGACTTCTTTATATGTAAATTCGTGCAGACACGTTCAATTATGATAATACTACATAGTTATTCATTTGACTGTTGGAGGAATGTGGCAAATATTACGTTCTTAAATAAAAAACTATCTTTATACAATTATTTATAATTTGATTTAAACTAATGTTATATTAAAAGAAAACATATTATTTAGTATTAGTTTATTGAATTTTTATATCTAATTTTGTGCAGACACGTTCAATTCTGATAATACTACATAGTTATTCATTTGACTGTTGGTGGAATGTGGCAAATATTACGTTCTTTAATAAAGAACTAACTTTATACAATTATTTATAATTTGCTTTAAACTAATGTTATATAGAAAGAAATCATATAATTTAGTATTAGTTAGATTGTTTTATTGACTTCTTTATATGTAATTTCGTGCAGACACGTTCAATTCTGATAATACTACATAGTTATTCACTTGACTTTTGGAGGAATGTGGCAAATATTACTTTCTTAAATAAAGGACTAACTTTATACAATTAATTATAATTTGGTTTAAACTAATGTTATATTGAAAGAAAACTTATAATTTAGTATTAGTTACATTGTTTTATTGACTTCTTTATATGTAAATTCGTGCAGACACGTTAAATTGTGATAATACTACATAGTTATTCAGTTGACTTTTGGAGGAATGTGGCAAATATTACTTTCTTAAATAAAGGAGTAACTTTATACAATTATTTATAATTTGGTTTAAACTAATATTATAATAAAAAAAAACATATAATTTAGTATTAGTTTATTGAATTTTTATATCTAAT